AACGCTAAACTGAATACCATGCTCTTAGATATCCTGATATAATTACCAAAGCTTACCACATTTACCAGATGTTTATCAGATATTATAAAACCATAATTTGTAGTTGTTTTTACCAGAATCACAACCCAAGCGCTTCCTTAAAAATTTTCGAGCTTTTTGGTGTTCATATAGAGTCAGAAAAACGGTACATTTTACAATATACTTGTAGTTTTGGCAGTACTTTTTTCCTCAGAAAAATATTGGAAATATTTTTATTAAATTTTGAAAATTTAGGTATTGGGCTATTGATATAGATGTAAAAAATGTCTATCTCTTAGTGAACCTTTAGATGAAAATTTCAATACCATTTATGCATTATTTTTGTATACATTACATTATATGTATAGGAGAATTTATAAATGAAATATTTTTAAAACTGAATCGTATTTCTTATAATTAATACACAGTTCGGTACATAAAATAAAGTATCTTTTAGAAATACTTACCACAAATTTACTTAATAATAAATTGCATAATAGTGAAATTATACAAAACAACAACGAAAATCAAGAATTATTAAAATGTTGAAATTTACGATAACGCAGAAAAAAACTAGAAAAAGGCAAAAAGATTAAATATGAAACTTAAGTTTATTAGTGAATTAATTACAATAGACATATACGACCGATAAATATTAAGTTCTATTTTAAAATGCTTTACAATAAATAATCGAATTTAAGTAAATTACAGATTTGTATAACTGAAAAATTGCCATTAAGAATTTAAAATTGCTGATAGAATTATATTGTTTTGCTTTACTTGTATTAATCTCTTGATAGTTTTCAGCTAATTTTCCTTTAATTAACTATTGCAAATTAAAATAGGTAGAAGTAAATGACATATCTGAGTTAAATAAAGTAATTAAAATGTCACTTTTCAATTCATAAAAAAAAATCTTTGCTTCCACTTTTCCTTGTTAAAGAAATTGAAAAAGTAAATTAAAGTAGATGAAATTAAAATATGCAGATTCTTGAAACTTTTGCTTTTAAAACTACCTTCTTCCTCAAAAAATAATTTTATATAAAGCTCTTTCGAGTTTTTTTGTTGACTTCATGGAGAAATAATTCCAAAATTGAATTGTTTTTTATTTGAATTTTAACCTGTCTATTTTTATGCATAAAATAAAAAATATATTAAAAAATTGTTAGTTTCATATTTAATTTTGGTATCAAATTATTTCATGAACAAATAAGTCTACTTTTAGAATTTAACTCCAACGTAGGATTAAAGTGATTAATTTAAAATTTACACGAGGTTTTGAAAAAAAAAATATTTCGTTCACTTTCGTTCTTTCTTTTTTATTCAATAAAACGCAAAATAACGCACATTTTTTAGTATTTCCAAAATAAATATGTAAATTGAAATTCTTTCAGGAAATATTTTCCATTGCTCTCACTATTTAATAAATATTGATTACTTCTAGTAAGAAAAAAGAAAATTAATGGAGTTAAAGTAGTTTGCTTTAAAAGTTTATTTTGGCGAAATGATATAGAAATATTTAAAACTTTTATATTTACGTATCAAATGTTTCAAGGTAAATGAAAATATTCTATCTATCTATCTATCTATCTTGTTTGAATATCTAAAACATAAATATGTTTATTCTTATTCAATTTAATTTTTTTTAAAATTTACTAAATTCTAATAATGAAACATTTAAAATCCAACTATTAATAATTATAGTTAATTTTTCACAGATATTTTACTTATGGAATTTAAGTTCTTAAACTTTATATTCATTCTTTTACGGAAAATTTTATAAATCTTATAAAAAAATCAGTACTTATCTGTTATTATTTCCATAAAGCCAAATTCACCAACAAATAGAACAAGGCCAGGTTTTAATTTACGCTGAGCACCACCTATTTATTATTATTTCCATAGGTGTATCGAACATGACAATATCGTAAATATTATACAACGCGATAGTTATTGAATACGATATTAATGTGAATGTTGCTTAATTTTGTGAAGGTAACAAACTTATTGACACCAATGTGGGCAGTGGACATTAGATTAATCGGGAAAATATTGTGATACATATTTTTAAAATGCATCGCAAATTTGTACTCATTAGTCACAGGTGTTAATGTTTTTGATGGTGGAAACACGAAAAAGGAATCGCCAACACATGATCCTCATAACAATTATAAGAGGTTGATGATAGTAAGAGAAGAGGAAAAGTTGTGTGCCAACAGTGGGTAAACCTCCCAAACATACATAAATTATCTATTTGAAAACACGCAGTTGAGACATAGATGAGTTTAGTCTCAACTCCAGGATCACAAAATTTTTAAAAAAATTAAAAAATTAGTAGCTTAAATTTCCTTTTAATTAATAATAAAACATGTCAAATTAATGTAAAAGCTGATTTTAACTTTTAAACGCAAATACTCTTTTACTTGGTGAGGTAGTCTTTTAGTTGATAAACACTATCATAAAGCTAAATTACTTTTTTTAAAGTTTATTTTTTACTTAAAATGCGTTGTTAACCGTTTTAGATCTATGCATTCCATTAAGAGAGAGATATTTATAACAGTTTAAGTTCGTTTCATTTTGGCAAAAATTCTATTACAAATTAAATGTATTGGCACGCATAATTAAATGCAAAGAAGTGCACTGTTTGATTTCAACAAAGTTGCAAATTTAATTTTATTATCCGTCAAAGCCACCATAAAGATAGGCAGCATATTTTTGTTTTAAATATTTGTACATATATAGTACTAAGCATTTAAAATTCACCACAATGCCATACGAACATATACATGTTAGAAATTTAGACAAAATTTAAATATACTCTTATTTGATCAACATGAAATTATTCTAGTTACATTTTGTCTTGGTTTTTGACTGCATGATTTATCATGAACTATTTGAAATTCTGCAAAAAGGTGTACCAGCTGGTCGTCACAGGTGGTTGGTAAATTATAAAATTTGAGTATATTTAATACGAAATGTTATATGTTTGGATCTCTTTATGCTTAAACTTGATGCTTAAATTTCCCTCTTTTCCAAACATCTTACTTATATAAATCAATTTCCATAGATTTATTTATTTTTTTGTTTTCGCATCACTAGATTCTGTAACTTTTTAGCAGTGATTTATAAATATTAAAGCAAGTTATATTTATACTACTATAAAAATAATGACACAAGCTATATAACTTTTTTTTAATTAAAATTTTATTAAAAAAATAGTGATACTTGCATATATTTTTTTGTCAAGCAGATTCATTCTTTCTTTTTATTATTTGGAATAGCTTTAAAAAAGGCTCTTTAAAAATGTGGTGTTTTATCTCTCCAAATTTCACGATAAAGCATTTATTTTTTCAAGCTAAGACCAATTTGAGCTTTCCTGAACATTTTGCGTAAAAGAACACTTTTAGTTTTAGTTTCACGCCAAAAATTTTTGGATTGGAACACTTTTTTTTCTTCAAAAAGAGATCAAATTGAGTTTTTATATACAATTTAAAGAGTGTAAATAAATCTAAAACTCCAGTAATGGGAATAGTTTACAGCAGTTATTGCGCATTCACATGATGCATTAGTTATTTTTTTCTTCCGCAAAGCAAAAATTTTGGCGAGCTTTGTGGCTGCTGCTATGCATTTACTGAAACAAAAGTTCGCTGCTATATTATGTATGCATGTTTTTAGTTATGTTATAAGGATATATGTATTTTAGTTTTTAGCTCTCTGTAAATTGTTTTAATTAATAATATAATTTCTATGAGCTTCAGTTCTGAGAAGCCAAGTTCAAATTCGCCTCTGTGATACGCGTATGTTTCTTTTACAAACAAATTTTATATAATTATAACTAATTATATAAAACTATTTTATGTAAAGAATAAGAGTACAGATACATCCTAAATTAATTATTCTTACTTCATATTGTTTCTTAAAAACAACGTCCCCGACACTTATCGTACTGTATCGTACTTTTGATCTTAAGACAACATTTTTTTTTAATAGTGTAACATATATATTTTACACAATGATTGTTGGAATTCATGAAAATAATCATTCTATGTGTGGTATCTACAAATAACTTTTTATATTTTAGTTTATTTAATGAATCAAAGTAAAAAAATCATTCAAAAATGCATTCTAAAGTTACTTAAAAACATTTTTTATTGCGTGCATATTTAAAAATTGTATTCAAGTTAGGAATACTAACTCAATTCAATAAATCCGATATTGTACGCTTTAGCATTAATCTGTTCCATAGTGTCCCGCATGGCGAAAAAACTTCTACTAAAATTACCGCACTGTATAGTCATAACAGTTGTGATAAAAAAAATGCATATTTATGGTAATAAAATCCAAAATATACGGTTTTAAAATCAGTCTTCGGTTCATATGGCTCGGTTCATGGTTGTCATTTTTCGGATCATATAGTAACTATTTACCGAAAATACTAGTTTGCAAGATTATATCTCAGATCACCACTTATTAAGTAAAAAATATAAAACTAAAAAGTAAGTTTAACAGGAAAAATGATTTTTATGCCATGCTCTAAGGTATCGTAATAAAATTACCAAATTTTACATCGACCAATTTTTTAAAAATATTATAAAACCATATTTAATTGTTAATTTCGCAAAAATATTTGTCAAAGCTCTTCGGTAAAAAGTAATCCCGCTTTTTGGTGTTCCCATATTCTCTTAGTTTTAACCATCCTTTTTCTTCGTGCAGCAATTATAGTTTTTATTGGGTTTCAAAATACGATGATAAAATAATTGAGCATACTTAAATATGTAAATTAATAAATTTGCTTATTTTAGTTTCAATTGAATATACGAATGTATAGTTCGCGATACCTATCGTTATTTGCTTAAAAGTCTTTTCTCCCAGTGTTATTCAATACGAATTATATCCTTGCGAATTTACCAACAGACAAGAAGCTTCGTCGTTTATAAAACTAGTAAGAAGAGAAATATATTATTTGAGAAAAAAGAACTTACCTGTCTAATCCAATAGCAGTAAGGGTGTACACGCTTGCTATAACTGACACATGCTGCATGAACTGAACGAATGGGCAGAAAATCGGATGAAAAATCCATCGTCCCAACATGAAATCTGTATATGTAAATGGAATCGAAAAAAGTGCCATGCAGATATCAGACACCGCCAAATTGACAAGAAAAATTCTCAGTTCCCGTGAAGATCTTTTGCCCAGTAATAAGACAGCAATAACTGTTGCATTACCGCCAAGCGCGAACAATGCAGTAAATGAGTATAATGTGATCAGAAATATTTGAACTTCTGGTCCTAGAGCTTCAGCTGCCCGTCCTATGTCTTCACCACTATAGTTCGAAATGTTCTGTTGATAATCCATTTTCAAAAGTTTTTTTCAACAAAGGATTGAAAGTTATATAGAAGTCCTTACTTCCCTACAATCAATAGCAAAGCTTTCATCTCAATTTTTTTTTAAATTTTGCAAAAAAGTTCCATTTCTAGGTCCTCTTACTCTGCTTTAATCATATAATTTTTAAAAAAAACTTTCTATAATTCACAATTACCGAATATTTTAAGCTCATATATGTTAAAACGTCATTGTAGTAATGTAATTATAATTCAGAATAAAACTTTGATATCAGAACATTAAGTTCATCTAATTACAAATTCTTTTGATTTAGTTCTCAAAATAAAATTTTACTCATACATTTTTGTAAGTCATGTTGCTTCATAAATATTGCTTTAAAATAAATAAAAGTATAAATAAGTTCTTTACCATTGCTTTATGATACAAAATTCTTGAGTTATGACATGAAGTAATCTAATCTGTTACTGCAATAATTAAACATTAAATGGAATGTGCAACATAGAAACTTTTTAATTTAAATTCTTTATAATTCATTAATATTGAAATGAAAAATTTAAATTGAAAAAAAAAATCTCTTTTAAGAATAGCAAGGGTAAACTTTTTTATTTAGGAAATATTTTAAATGGACATATTTTAACTACCACCAATTTTAAATAATTTGAAAATTTAATTTTTTTAATGCTCCAATACATTTAATAAATAAATTATAGCTGCCATTCCATTTTGTTGTTGTAGTTAAATATAGAATTTATTGCAAACAAAACTTTTTCTACATTTTGCTTAACATTTAAACGTATTTGTGTATTATAATTTTTTTAGATAAACGAAGAAAAGAAAATAATAATAATTTAAAAGAAACGAAACGAAAAATTAAAGAAATATGGAAATTAATTAAGAAATGGTATGCAAAAATTAAAATATATATATATATATTTANATATATATTTATGTAGGTGATATAACAAAACAAATTTATCTTATACTATTTATCTTATACTAAACCCTTCAATATTGTCCTTTATAAAAAAAACCGAAATCCTTAAAAATACTTAATAAAAGCCGAAACTTACGGATCGCAATATACTGTCGCACTTTCCGAAGTTTAACGAACAGAATGCCGAATAACCTGAAAGACTAAGATGAAATTCCCTCAACGGATTATCCGCGCATGCGCATATTACCCACTCTTCCCTCTTCCTACTGGTTAAAACGCTTCTGATTTGACATTCAACATTTTCATATAAACTCTAAGAAATACAGAAAAAGAAGCTGATTTACTGTTTTAGAAAGCTATCTCCTTTGTTGAACTTGAGAAATTAAGAGACTTAAGGGATACTTCAAAATGGAAAAAGACACTTAAAATGAGAAGTATTGCAGATTCAACAAGTTTTCAGGAAGGGATATTTGCTTTTCATGCTTTTCCCTAAAGGAGACGGTTAAAAGATAACTCTCGAATAGTTACACTTGTTGATAATTAACCATTTTTTAATAAGGTTGGCTAAAACAGATATAAAAAAAGTTCTTTTATTGAAAATATTGAAATAGAAAAGTTTTAATTAAAAGTAATATTAATCTGAAGAAATATGCATTTATAAAATAATAAATAATTCTTAATTTAGTGTCAAATGAATAGGATTTATATTTTGAAACAGTTTTCTTTCTAGCCTGTTGTGTTAAAATATACAAAGTAAGTAAATATAATTTTGGTTGCAAAGTAAAATAGAACCTGAAAGATGTATTAAATGTCTGCAAATGTAAACAAATATATACATTGTTTTATGAATAGATTAAAGATTGGTTACGTTACTACTCTGTTCATTTGGGAAATAAAATCTCTTTCATTTCTTTACAATATCCTTGAAAAGATTTTGCAGGTATTTATATTCAATAAAAGACGAATTTCAATACATTATTTAAATGAATTTAGACAAATACATAATAAACAGAATTTTAAAAAAAAAAGAAAAATTTATAGTTGCAACCAAATTTTTTTATATAATTAATAAATAAATGGTAGTTTTACTTTATTTTTAATTGTTTGAAATAAAAGGGCTTAAACTTCTGAAGGAAATCTTAAATAGAATAAATTTTGCTTTGAATGCATTTTTCGAAACATTTCGGAGAAAAGAAAGGAAGAAAAAGGAAATGTAGTTCTTTTAACACTTTGAACAAGATTCATGGAGCAAAATTTAAAACAGTAATACGATAACGCGTATGATTTCTATGCCTTATCATGTTAAAGTTTTAGATATAATATGACTTACATATTTTAATATCTAATAAATTAAAAAAATATTAAAAATAACAAACATTTAAAACAATTTTAGCAACAGATAATAACAAAATCAGTTAATAATTTTATTAAAATATAACGAAATAAAAATAAAAATAACACGTGAACCTGCCTGAATCATGCTACGTTTTTAGAAAATTAGCTGATATACCAAAAAACTGGAATTTAAAGGTATTTCTGAAAATCTTTTAAGATGGTCACAATACATGGAAGAGCCTCGAGGACAGAGCGTTTGCCTTCCAATGAGATGAACCAGGTTCGAATCCCAGTTATAGCTGGTCGATACGAATTTTCATCCTTCTTGCCCCAACCACAGTGCTGACGAGAAATATCCTCAGTGGTAAGCGGATCATGGGTTAGTACCCATGTCGTCATGCTAACCGTGGAAGGTTCCAGTGGTCTTCCTCTCCATGTAACTCAAATGCGGGTTAGTTCCATCAAAAAGTCCTCCACGAGGGCGAATTTCTCCCAATACTTGATTCAAGAGTTCCCTTGTTCTCTGGATTGCGTTCAAAATTACAAGGCTACGTAGTTGAACATTAGTAGTCGTAAACCTAAAAATTGGGTCGACTGTACAACGACGGTTATAAAATAAAAATATGCGAAAAGTGAACATGTATTGTGATATGTAAAGATAACCTATATAAAGATAACATCGACACTCTCATAATTACTCGTTTTAATCACAGCTTATATGCATATGAACATATATTGTGATATATAAAAATTACATATATAAAGATAAGATTGACACTCTCATAATTACTCGCTTTAATCACAGCTTATATGCATATGAACTAGGTCTCCAGTTCAGGATGTATAGAACCAATAAATATTACAGGTTTGGTTTTTAATACATTTTCTTCCTGCTATTTTGGTTCAAAGATAGGGATTTTTTTAAATATCCCTAAAAGGAAAAATTTTAGATTTTCAATAAAGCAGAATTTCCTTTCCGTCCATATTATGATGATGGAAAGCCTTGGAAATAAAAATTATTATCTTGTAAAGAGTCATGAATAATTAAACAAGAATAAGGAATCAGCAAGAATAAACAATTTTATTCCTAAAATGTTTTGTTTTAATAAAAGATATTATCCATCATTTTTTTAACAGAAAAATATAAAGATGCTTTAATGGAGGACGTAGATGATGGAGCCCTCAGTCTGTAAACATTCTTTGATTATATCCATTCATGTAGTAAATAGTAAGAAGTATGTTGCATTTAAAATTAATATTAAACTATATTTTTAATCATTATTATTGCTTTATTAATATATACAATTTTATCATTAATCAGTTATTTACAACTTAAATTAAAAAGCCTATAAATAAGATAGCTCTTGGAAACAGAAAGACCGTTCCTTCTTTGTAGAAGAGGGTTTAATGAGATTACTTGATGCAGTAGAGTATGTGACTTGTGTTCTGTATTACCCATCAAAGTCTGGAAAATAGTTAATAATCCTCTTCAGAATAGTTAACAACCTTTTGGTATCATCGATATCATTATCTTATGTCGTTGAAATACCTAGAGTTTAAGAGCAATTTTCTTTAAAGAGATAAAATGTTGTCTTAAATCGAATTTAAAAAAACTTTGCATTACTCTGCCTTCATATCGGGTGTTGCATTTTATTTATTTATTTATTTGAAATTAAGAATGCTTACAAAATGTTGTTGCATGTTATTATATTCAAATAGTATATCTTATTATAATCAAAATTACATGTTTTCGTAAAATAAATGTAAGAAAATCCGTTTTAATTAAAATTGCTTATTATACGTACATTGTTATAATACTACACCTAAAAAACCCAAATATAAATAAAATGCACTTAATTGACCAAATAATGAAACTTAAAATTATTTTCGAATTTTGTGGTGTTTTACGTGGCAATTTAACACTTCTGAATATGTCATATTAATGTTCCATATTTGAAATATATCATATATTAATTTTTTTCCCTAGAATAAAGCAAAGAAATTGTAAAAAAAAATTATCAGTTAACAAAAGCATTTTTATTGCCTATAAAAGGTAATATTGCAATACTTGAAATATAACTTAAACATATAGCATCAATTCCAGTATTTAAAATTTTAAAATATTGATAGAAATCTTAGTTTAAATCCAATGTATTAAAACAAATAATACTTATTGAAATATTAGAAACCTAAACAGTATGATGCAAAACTTTTAAGAGGAATAATGGAAATATTTGCCAGAATTCTACAATTTATGCTAAAAAAGAATTCACATTTTCCTATGGAAAACATTTTGTTCCAGAATATTACTAAAATGTCCTAAAAATGAGACTACTATCATTATCGATTCAAGACACACTGCACTGAAGAAAAAAAAATAATCAAAACTACCAGCATATGCTAAAATTTACCGTGTTTCTGGCTCTAAGGGAACACTGAAATGCTGGAAAAATTTTACCGATTCACATCGGTAATAATTTCAGTAAAATTAACAATAAAATATGTTTTTATAAAGTGTGGTAAAATTTGTTAAATGTGCAATAATTTAATATTTTTTTCGGTTTGATATTAAATTGGTTTATTCCGAATTTACCATATCTTCGATCAAATTAACCTTTCAGTTTTATATTTCTTACTAAATATATGCTTAATAAGAACTATTATTTTGATAAACAGAATTATCATTTGTTATCATTTGTAATATTTAAATATAGTATATTTTAGTTTCGTTACCAGAATTATGGTTTCTTTTAACATATAAATACGGTAATTTCGCCAGAATCTTCTTTCTCCATGTAGATAAACCACAAGGCAACTAAAAGTTGATATTTTTAATTTAAATTAATCAAATCTCCAACTAATTAAAACAGTATCATCAATTATAGTGTAGTAGAAATATTTAGTTACTTAATTGCTTTTGTTACAAATAATGTATTAAGAGATTTAATTTCAGTTTTTTTAGCTTTATAAATAATAATACATTTCAATAAGAATTAATATCATGTAGAAAGTCAAGAATACGGAATCCGCAAGAAAACAGAATTTTATTCATTAAATGTTTTGTTTCAATAAAAGATATTACTCGATTATTTTTTTTAACTGAAAAATAAAACGATGCTTTAATAGAG